AAAGACAGTGACTCTTCATTTTGTAATTCCCACAACTACTGTTGAATGACTGAAATTATCTTTGTTCTGAAATCAAAAGAGTGATATTAATATTTCTTCAGACTACTAAAAATATATTTTATGAATTTGGAGTGTGCTTTATCTTTTTTTTTTTTTTCCACATAGAGTTTCACTCTTGTTGCTCAGGCGGAGTGCCATGGCACAATCTCGGCTCACTGCAACCTCCGCCTCCTGGGATCAAGTGATTCTCCTGCCTCAGCCTCCAAGTAGCTGGGATTACAGGCGCCTGCCACCATGCCTGGATAATATTTTGTATTTTTAGTAGAGACAGGGTTTCACCATGTTGATCAGGCTAGTCTCAAACTCGACCTCAGGTGATCCACCTACCTCAGCCTCCCAAAGTGCTGGGATTATAGGCGTGAGCCACTGCTCCTGGCCTGTTCTCTCTCTTTTTTGACCTTGTTAGATATTCCTCATCTTGAATTTTCTATTTATTTCTCTTTTCTGTCCATTCATTCAGTGACTTTTAATTTTTTCAGGCAGAGACTCACTATGTCCTCTAGGCTGGAGTGCAGTGGCACAATCTCAGGTCACTGCAATCTCTGTCTCTCAGGTTCAAGCGATTCCCATGCTGCCTCCTGAGTAGCTGGGAGCACAGGTACGAATGACTACACCCTGCTAATTATTGTATTTTTAGTAAAGACAGGGTTTTGCCATGGTGCCAAGGCTGGTCTCGAACACCAGGCCTTAAGTGATCAGCCTGCCTTGGTCTCCCAAAGTGCTGAGATTACCGAGTGTGAGCCCCCACGCCGGGGCCACTGAAGTGACCGTTTATTGAGCATCTGCTGTGTACCAGGCACTGTTTTAGGCACTGGGGAAGGAGAAAGGAAGAAAATAGAAAGCTTCTTTTGGGGAGAGATAATAAACACGCCAAATAGACAGATGTGCTCTCAGAAGAAAACTGGAAGTAGGTTAGAGAGAGGCGGGGGTGTGGAGGAGATGACTTCTTTAGATGGGGTAGTCAGGAAAGGCCTTCCCAGAGAGGGTGACCTCTGAGCTGAGTCTTGAAAGATGAGAAGGCCACTGTAGCCTGGAGGAGTGTTCCCAGCAGAGGGACTGGCTTGTGCAAGAGCTTTGAGGCAGAATCAAGCTTGGTGTGGTCAAGGGCCGGGGAAGAAGCTGGTGTGCCTGGAACACAGTGTTGGGAGAGGGTGGTTGACCTTGGGGCCAGGGAGGTGGACAGGGACATGGGGCTGTTTCTTCAGTTCTGGGCCCCAGGAGAGAATCAGTGCACTTTCTCAGCAAACGGGTATCGTTCCCCTTTCCTCTCCACCCTCCTGGCCAGGTTTCATGCCAGGTACTGTTCTGGAATATAAGAGTGAATGAGAGGTGTATTGTGCCCCAGAAAGTGGGCAGAGTCTGTGCATGAGTAAACCCGTAGAAGGTGCTGGTGAGGTGTGAATGAAGGCCCATCAGGCCGCACAGCTGGCTCATCTCTGCACTGAGGTGTGTAGGGACTTGGGAAATGTGTCTTGATTTGCACTGAGCCGTGCTCTGTGCTGTGCTGCCAGCCTTCACCGTGGTAACTGAAACTCAGTTCTCTGATGTAAAGCCTGGCAGTCCTGGCCTACTTGGGGGCACGTGGACCCCTGCTAGGGAAGGGGTCCCAGACTTGAGGTTGCCAGCTCAGATGTGGGGCTGCCGATACCAGGTATGAGTGTCTAGGCACCGTCTTATGGGAAACACGCCCAAGAGACAGTCATGGGAAACCCCCCGCTCACTGAGCTGCCTGCCCCACGCCTTTCTCCCCTAACTGCAGACTGTGATCTGTGGCTCTGGTTGGGAATGTGGACTTGGGGACATTGTGCTCCTCATGGGTTTCTTCCTGTAGGATGGGGCAAAGAAGGGGGTATGAGATCTGAGCAGATGCTTCTGGGATCTAGAGTGTATTCATGTGGCAAGGTGTGGCTCTCAGGGCAGTGCCTGGAAATGGCCTGGTGGAGATGTTGGCACCATTTCTTTTGGAGTGGCCGAATGACTTGTAAGCCCCAGGGGGCTCTGATGTCATTGAGTTAGGGGCCTGCTTTGACCAGAGTTAACCAGCATTTTGGGTTCCTGGCATGTGAGCTTGTTGCTATTAAATAAATGGGAAATGGGCTGGGCCCAGTAGCTGATGCCTGTGATTGCAACACTTTGGGAGGCTGAGATGGGCAGATTACCTGAGGCCAGGTGACTAGCCTGGCCAATGTGGTAAAACCCTGTCTCTACTAGAAATACAAAAATTAGCCAGGCGTGGTGGTGGGTGCCTGTAATTCCAGCTACTCAGGAGGCTGAGGCAGAAGAATTGCTTGAACCCGGGAGATGGAGGTTGCAATGAGCTGCGATCATGCCATTGTACTCTAGCCTGGGTGACAGAGCAAGACTTCATCTCAAAATGAAAATAAAAATAAATAGGAATGAAAGGCCAGAATCCTGGGAATATATTCATTATAACTCGGGGCCCTATCCCTTTTTCCCATAGTTATGGCCAATGTGAAGTAGACCTGCCCAGGTTTTTTGGGACAGGGTCTCGCAGTGTTGCCCAGGCTGGAGTTCAGTGACACCATCATGGCTCACTGCAGCCTCTGTCTACCTCTGTGGCTCACCTTCAGCCTCCCAAATAGCTGGGACCACAGGTGTATGCCACCATGCCCAGCTGGTGTCCACGTTTCAGGTAGCAAGATTCTGACAGCAGTTCTCTCAGTTAACTTCTCAGTGATGATAACTTTACGAGCCCACATAGGTGAAGAAATAAGGCCCAGAGTCACACAGTAACTGGCGGAGCTGAATTGTCTGAGTTTCCATTTGTGTTCATTTCTTTGCTGCCTTTAGAAATGTGCTTGATTTTGGGTCTTGTCCAGGGCAGAAAGATAATACAGGCTTGGGTAATGCTCAGCATTTTAGAAGAAGTAATACTGGGTGGAAATGGATTTGGCAAGTCTCGTTTCTCACACCATTGGAATGGGAGTCCCTCACAGTTGCAGACAGGATGAAGTATCAGAGTGTGGGGACCTGGATTAACAGGTGGCCATTCACAGAAAGGAGACTGCAAAGCAAGAGATGGGGGCTTCAGGCTGAGCAGGAAGGTAGGAGAGGGCATCCTTGTGAGGAGCAGCCTGCGGGGCTGGGGTGTGGGCAGCAGGTGGGCAGACGCCTTTATCTGATTGTCTCAACTAATTTTGCCTCTGCTTGGAAGGGTTCTGGCTACAAAGGCAACATAGCAGGTAGTGCTTGGGTCTGATGGTGACAGGCACAGTGGTATTTTAAAGGCTAATGGTACATTTTAGGAGAAAGAAGGTGACGAGTCCCTGGGGAGAGTCCCTGTGGTGGCCCTAACTCACTGCGGCACAGGGGACAGAACAGAGCAAGGAAGAATCCATCAACGAATGGAAATTTGTCTTTTTAGGGGACAGGAAACTTTTTCTGTGTGGTTGGTTGGCCTGGTGGTTTATGAAGAGAGGTGAACATTTGAGACAAAGCCCCAGGCCACTCTCACCACTGCATCTTTGACAATTTTGAGAGTTTTAGAAGTAGTTAAAAAAAGAAAAAGAGAAACCAAAAATCAAAGACCACATGGCTGGCTGTACACAGGTAAACGAGGTTCTCCTAAAATGTACCATTAGCCTTTAAAATACCACTGTGCCTGTCACCATCAGACCCAAGCACTACCTGCTATGTTGCCTTTGTAGCCAGAACCCTTCCAAGCAGAGGCAAAATTAGTTGAGACAATCAGATAAAGGCGTCTGCTCACCTGCTGCCCACACCCCAGCCCCGCAGGCTGCTCCTCACAAGGACGGCCCTCTCCCACCTTCCTGCTCAGCCTGAAGCCCCCATCTCTTGCTTTGCAGCCTCCTTTCTGTGAATGGCCACCTGTTAATCCAGGTCCCCACACTCTGATACTTCATCCTGTCTGCAACTGTGAGGGACTCCCATTCCAATGGTGTGAGAAACGAGACTTGCCAAATCCATTTCCACCCAGCATTACTTCTTCTAAACGAGGTTTACCTGTGTACAGCCAGCTATGTAGGCTGTGATTGGACATGTGATCCCTCCCACCTGGACCCCTAAACCAGAGGGAGCTTCTGACTATTCTTAGAAGGCTTAGGCGGCCGGGCGCGGTGGCTCAAGCCTGTAATCCCAGCACTTTGGGAGGCCGAGGCGGGTGGATCACGAGGTCAAGAGATCGAGACCATCCTGGTCAACACGGTGAAACCCCGTCTCTACTAAAAATACAAAACATTAGCTGGGCATAGTGGCACGTGCCTGTAATCCCAGCTACTCAGGAAGCTGAGGCAGGAGAATTGCCTGAACCCAGGAGGCGGAGGTTGCGGTGAGCCGAGATCGCGCCATTGCACTCCAGCCTGGGTAACGAGCGAAACTCCATCCCAAAAAAAAAAAAAAAAAAAAAAAAAGAAGGCTTAGGCAGCCTCAAATGGCCAGACTTTGTCTCAAGCATCTAACAGCGTAAGCTAAACTTCCCCTCTGGGCCTGTTTGGTTTAAGCAGTTTCCTGGTCTGGCAGGATTTGTTATCTTAGCACCCAGGTTGTCGAAGCCCTAGTCCTACTTGTCACAGCAAACGGGCCCCTGTCCCCTTGTGGCTGTAAGCCAGCCAATGCTTATGTTCCAAAGTCAGACCTGCTGTTCTTACTATAAAGCTCTGCTGGGCCCCGGATGGCTTCTGCCTTTGGATGTGAGGCTGGGAGGATACACAGCACCTCCTGCTGGGTAAGAGCACAGGTTCTGGTGGTTGACAGCCTGGATTCAGACTGCACTGCCTCTCTGGCTTGCTGTGTCTTTGGGCAAGTTGCTTACCCTTTCTGAGCAATAGTTTCCTCATCTGTGAAATGGGGATTACAATGGGGTTGTTTTTCATAGTAAGATGAGCCATGGGAGAGCAAAATGCCTGGTGTCGAATGAGAATATTTTTATACGATAATATTACTATTTATTTTCTTGACAGATGTTTAATTAGCACCCACTAGGGACTGGGCACTGTTCTCAGCTCTGGAGAAAATGGCAGTGAACAAAATGGACAAAACCATAGACCTTGTGGACCTCATGCTTTAGTGTCGGGAAGAGACATTCAGATGACAAGAAAGTAAGTAAAGCCCAGAGCAGTGGCCACACCTGGAGTCTCAGTCACTTGGGAGGCTGGGGCAGAAGGATCACCTGAGCCAGAGTTCAAGACCAGCCTGGGCAACATAGCAAGATTCCCATCTCTGCAAAAACCACACACTAAGGAAAGTGTGTTATCTGTTAAGTGGTGAAAGTGCTGTGGAGAAAATGAAGGCAGGGAGGGGTGCCTGGGTGGTGGTATGATTTTAAGTGAGTGGTCAAGATGGCTTTGCAGAGGAGGTGTTACTTGAGTAAAGACCTCAAAAGGGTGGAGAAGGGCTCCACAGGGATACAGCCGGAAAAGAGCTTTGGAAGCCAAGGAACAGCTCACGTGGAAGCCGAAGGGGAGTGAACCCAGGTTGTTAGAAAACGCTGGCGCCGGGGTGAGGCCATGAGGGGCCCTGGGCGTGACATTTAGGGAGGTGCCTGCTCTCCAGTACCCAGTGCACTCTCAGGACACTGAGCCCAGGTGTGAAGGAGGGAAGAATGATAAGAAGAGAAGGTGGGAAGAAGTGCTTGGTTTTATTTGGTCCCTGCCTCCTATAGGATTCACAGGGGATTTTGAAACTCATGTCTTAATAAAAAGTTGGAGTTTGGGGGCTGGCACACTAACCTACTGACTTACAGAAAGTGACTTTCTGACTGTGTGGGCAGGTGACAGAGCCCTGGCCCAGGGCCATGCTGAGGATGTCACATGAGTGAGCCACGTTTATTTCATCCAGCAGCTTTTGTGGAGCACCCACAGCAGGAGATTGTGCCGGCACCTGCCCAGTATTACTCTCTTCATCTATGACACGAGGACAGTGATGCCCTTCTGTCCACTCTGTCCTTCCATAGGTGTTCCTCCTGAGGCAAGACTGCAATAGAAAAGCAAAGCAGAATGCATAAGACTATTCACATTATCCATAATACAGAAAAGAATGAAAACGAGGTAGCTGTCCAGTGGTGAGGGGAGGTTTGGCAGACCGTGGCACAGCACATGATGGGTGGGTCATCACACACACACACATGTCAATCACAGAGGCTGGGTGAGAACATGAGCATATTCACAGTATCACACCAAGGGAGATACACAGTATGTAAAATTGCATGTATGTGGCGTTTATAGTGCTGTAAATATGTGATGATATGCATGCAGATGGGGAAAACTAGAGTTGAAATGACTTATGCGTGGTGGGACTTTTTCTTTAGGAAAATCCTTTATTATTGCTATAATTGCATTCCTTTGTTGATTAAAGTAATACATATGTGAACGCCTCCTAGCTATCAGGCCCTGAGAAGGTGCTTGGGTACAGCATTGGACTGGCCCCGGCCCCTGCCCCTGGGAGCCATGCTCAGTGAGTGATTCTTGAGGCCCAACCCCTTCTCCGCGCTCGAGGACTGAAGGCTAATGAAGTGGTGCAAATTCAGACTTTCTGGAATAAAATGGGGGGTTTGTCTTCTAGGTTCTCTGCACGGCGCTTGTTGAGGCAGTCCCAGATTCTGCTGAGAAGTGGGGAAGTTTCCAGAGTTGCCACCTTCTCCTGAGGGTAGAGAGCTCAGGGGTAGAGCTGGCCTGGCACTGAGAGGGCTCCCTGAGTCTTGGCTGCTGGGACTTGAGCAGTGCTGGGGCGCTACTGGTGATCCCACCTTCCCAGGGAGTGCCCCTGCCCTTTTGACCATGGTGCCCTCGGTATGAGGGGCTGTCCTGGGAAGGAGACTGCAGCTATGGGCTCATCTCCTAGGTGCCCAGCACTCACAGGGTCCACATTGCCTGTGATGTGCCCTGGGAAGCCTGTGGTTGGCTCAGAAGTACTGAAATGTTGGACAGCCACAGATGGTCCTGCTGCCCCCACTCTGGGTGTTTGGATGATGGTGGTGCCAATGAGGACGTTTGTAACTACAGCACACATGAGAGGCCTGCTGTCTGTGTTCTGGGCTCTCAGATGGCCCTGGGAATACTGTGCCCCACCAGTCCCTCCATTACAGGAGACAGGTCCCAATCCAGACCCCAAGAGAGGGTTCTTGGATCTCACGTGAGAAAGAATTCAGGGCAAGTCCATATAGTAAAGTGAAAGCAACTTTATTAGGAAAGTAAAGGAATGAAAGACTGGCTACTCCGTAGAGCAGCCCTGAGGGCTGCTGGGTGCGCATTTTTATGGTTATTTCTTGATGATATGCTAAATAAGGGGTGGATTATTCATGCCTCCCCTTTTTAGACCATACAGGGTAACTTCCTGACGTTGCCATGGCATCTGTGAAGTGTTATGGCGCTGGTGGGAGTGTAGCAGTGAGGGCGACCGGAGGTCACTCTTGTAGCCATCTTGCTCTTGGTGGGTTTTAGCTGGCTGCTTTGATGCAGCCTGTTTTATGAGCAAGGTCTTTATGACCTGTGTTTGTGCTGACCTCCTATCTCATGCTGTGACTTAAAGTGCCTAACCATCTGGGAATGCAGCCCAGTAGGTCTCAGCCGTATTTTACCCAGCTCCTATTCAAGATGGAGTTGCTTTTGTTCACACACCTCTGACACCTCCAGCTGCCCTGGAAACACAGGAGTTCGGCTCTCACCTCCCGTTGTACCGGGAGGAGGGAACTGAATGAAGCCCAGAGAGGTGAGTTAGCCTCTTGAAGGTACACCAGCGGTGACAGGCTGAGATTTGAATTGTAATACGACATGACATATTCAAGTTTTAAAAAAAAAAAATATTTTAAGTAGAATTGACAAGTCAGAAAGATGAGTAGCTCCTGGCTTTGAATATTACCTGCTAAACAAATAAGTTTAAACAGCATAAGTCTGGGCTTTAGGTCAGACATACATGAATTCAAGCCCTGGATTGCCCTTTAGTAGCTGGGTGACTTTAGTATATTATGTAACTTCTCTGAAGGTCAGCTCCTCACTTGGAACATGGAAGTCGTAGCATAGACCTCACTGGATATAAGAATTCCATATGTTAAGGCACCTAGCACAGTACCTGACGCATACCATGTGCTCACTTGAATACTGCTTCTGAAAATCTGCTAATCACTGGGGAAGCTGTATCTCAGAGTAATTCAATCAGAAATTCTGAGGTTAGGGCCTGCAAATTGGTTTTAAAACAAAAGGAAAATCCTCCCCAAATGGTTCTGGTGGGCCGCAGAGCTTGAGACTCTAGTCCAGTAGAAAAGTACTGACTGGAATTATGGAACGTAGCTTCTCCTCCTCGCCTTGCTATAAACCAGCCTGGTCCTGTTGTCCCCAATCCTTATACTCCATCTCGGTAAAACAAGGAAGATGGACCTCTCTGAGGTCCTAACACTAAATAAAATAATTAAATAATCAGAGAGAGGAGTTTCGTAGAACCTCACCTTTCTGATGGCTCAGAATGTTAACCAGACAAGACCTTATAGAGTTCCAAGGACTTGCTTTAAGAAGTCTAGGACCTGGGTTTTTTTAAAGTTGAAATTAGAGTTTTGAAAACATCTCTTTGGCAAAACAGAGAGTGTTCACATTTTTTTCTAGGTAAAAAGCAGTGTGGTCCGGGCCTTGGACATTAGCTTCGTTGTCTGCAACCCTCTCATATGGAAAAACCCACACTTGCAGAAATTGAGTTTATCCAGGCCCTGATTTCCACTGTCCTAACAGAAGCTGCCATGACAGTCCGATGGAACGCTTGTTATGCAATGGGAAATGTATTTAAAAATCCCGCCCTTCCATTAGGTAAGAAAGTTTCCCTTTTCTCCCTGGCGGAAAGCCTTTTGGGATAGCACACAGCAATCTACATTGTTGTTAAAGACATTTGTCACATGTTATTTGCTACAGTATTCGGAGGAAAAGGAGACATAATGAAAACAAGTTTAGGGGAACATTGAAGTACATCATTATCTATACAGTGGGATATATAATGGGATATTTTGTTGCCATTTAAATTACAAGAATTTGATAATCTGGAAAAATACTTCTGATGTTAAACAAATGAAAGCAAGTACTAAATAATTTCCACAGAATGATCGCAATAGATGGATAGAAAAAAGACTGAAAGGAAATTGGCCTAATTATTAACAGTGATTGCCTCTGGATGAGTAGGATTTTTTCTGTTTTCATTTTCTCAGTTGTCTGCAATAAGCATGTATTGTTTTAGTAATCAAGAAAAAAGAAAGGGAAAAACTGGAATGAGAGGGGATATAAACTGGAAATCCCCTATGAACTGTGTACAGAGTGGGTGCCATTAATAAATGTAAGAGGGCAGCTGTCTCTAATTAGTGGCATGCCATGTACCCTGAGATGTCATTCAGGACCAGCAGCTGCTTGGGTGTACGGATGGGAGCCTCCGAATCTCGCTTACTTTGAATGCCAGCATTTGCTTTATTGCGTGTCTCTCTCTCTCTCAGAAGATCTGAAACCTAAGGATGTGTTCCTGGAGAGGAGAGCATGCATCAAGTGAGGGGAGTGTGGCTCTGCTCCCCTTTAATGCCCAGAGTGTCCAGGCAGAGCAGTTAGCTGGAGCCTGTGGAGAAGTAGCCTCCCGGCTGCTTCCACTGAGGAAGTCACCTGAGGGTGACCTTTGGGGCTGGAGCTCTTTGCGGTGGATGTCCACCTTCTGGAGAGCCGAGAGCGCCTTGAAACCAGGGCACCTCAGTGGTGGTTGGCTCCTACCTGCCTTTCTGTCTGGCTCTTGCCCTCAGCCTACTAGAGAGAGAGAAGTTGACCCAGAGAGGGGACTGCATGACCTGGAGGGAAAGGGAAGCTCCAAAGAGGCAGGAAGTTTGCAAAAGAGAAAGCATCCAGTAGCAGAGCTATCAGGAGCCACATACGAAAAGGGAGCCAGAAACTGACAAGACTGTGACTGACAGGTCGGAGTGTGAGAGCCTCGTAGCCCTAGCAGTGGCCCATTGTCAATGGCAGGGGCATCCACCAAATGGAATGGGCCTGCTCGCCTGTCTTCAGAGGCCACAGAGAAGCAGGGAAGGGCTGCGAGAGTTAAGAGAAGCTGCATTCTACTCTGTCACCCATCTTGAGGAGTAAGGACACCCCAAAATGCAGTGGGTAGCAGTAGCTCTGGTAAGGAGGAAAGCAGGCTGTTTCCTAGGGCCTACAGGAATGGAGAAAAGATAGAAATCTGGGCATCTTATCCTTGAAACTGTAAGTTTTCTTCCTCTTTGCAATAAAATGCATGACTTGCTATGACCCGAGCAGTGTCTGGATGCTGCTGCGAGTGAGGAAATGATCCTTTCTGCTGCGTGAACAGGGCTACCGCGTGTAGTGTGTGGTTTGCACGCTGCTCAGAAGTGCGCAACAGAGGACAGGTGGGGTCGGAGTCCCTGCTCTGCCACAAAGCCTTACCCCCATGGGACAGATTCCTGCCAGAGAAGCAGCCTTTTTCTGAGTCACCAAAGGCTCTGTATTGGGTAGCAGAGGCTCTAAGCATGTGGCAGGCTGATGTGGGAAAGAGGGAGGTTTGGGGATTGGCAGCTGGCCACTTACTAGAGTCCTACAGTCAGTTTCCACCCGATCTTACAGGATGATTGTGAGAGTGAAGTGAACACACAAAATGACTGTTTGGAGCACTAGTGTTTATGCTTCCTTCCGTCCCTCTCCCTCTCACCCCACCTATTTCTAAGTTTGCATGTGTTTTAATGACTGTGGATTCTTTCTAGGGACAGCCCCATGGACCTCCCAGGCCTACAGCGCCCTGACATCAGTTGTGACATCATGCAAGGACTTCAAAGTGCGCATCAGATCTACCACTGCCCTTGCCATCCCGGGCAAGAGAGAGCAGTATGGGTCTGTTGACCAGTATGCTCGGATTGGATCTGGAACACATTGGTCACCGCCTTACAGAAGAGCGAAGACACCACAGCCTTTTTGGAATTCAAGTACTGTGCCAGCCTACAGACCCAAATCTGCCAGGCACTCATTTATTTCCTGAGCTTGGCCAGTGCCTCAGACTTGCTTTGTATCAGAGAAACCCTTGAACTGAATGAGAATATGCTCCAGTCCTATATCCTACAGTTTCTAAAATAAGGAGCAGAGGAAGATGACACTGGAGCACCCCACAGCCCCCAGGAAAGAGACCAAATGGTCAGAATGGCCCTGAAGCGCATGGGCAGTGTCCAGGCACTGACTGGAGACACAGCCAGAAGGGCCATCATGGGCTTTGTAGAAGAGATCCTGGCCGTTTGTTTTGACTCATCTGGATCACAAGGGGCACTCCCAGGGTTAACAAGTCACTGAAGATCCCACCATACTTTCTAGGTGCCTGAGCTTGAGCATAAGATATGTGGGATTTCATCTTAGGGGCAGAAACAATCCATTCACTATTTATTTAGAATGACTTAGCAGCAATTTAAATTTTCGCAGAAGGCTCAGCCACCTTGGGAGTGGCTCCACAGCACTGACCATGGTCAGACTTGTTGGAACCTCTGACCTGTGCATCCAGGAGCCGAGGAGTCGGGTTGTATTATGGGCCAAGCAGATAGGAGGGCTTTGAGGGCGTTTAGCCTCAGGGAAAAAAAAAAAAAGGCAGGAGGATTTAGGAGTTAGAATGTTGTATATTGTGTCTGTAGTTTTGTAATAAACTAATGAAAAACAGTGTGTCCACAATCTCCTGTTGTTACCAAGCTGTATTTTAGAAAGCTGCAAGCAGAGCTGCGGTGCAGCTGGTTTGTACTGGCACAGCTGTACAGGGTGCTGGGACACTGACAGTTCCTCACGGTTGATAAGGAGCTGCTGCTCTGAGCTTCTGGAGTGGCCGTGCTCCCCCCGCCCCACCGCCTTCCCTGCCACACCTCCCCACGATCCAGTAACTAGAGTTAATTCCCAGCAAGTGACCACAACATCAACTTCTACCCAAATTTCCTGATGCCCTTTCGGAAAAGGTGATCCCACACACTAAATTTATGCCACCTTTTAATCTGTGCCTTTAAGAAAAGGTCATTTGGTTAATTTAGTTGGTTACAAAGAGGGGTTTCAAATTATATTTTGATAATGCCCCAAATGTCATGAAAGTAACTTGTACTGAATACATATATTTAAAATTCACATTTCTCTCTTGAGCACCTACAATTTGTTGGAATTGATTTCAATTAGGAATTTAGGGATATATAAGAACCAATTAGTTTTCCATACATATCTTCGATGTGAGACAAGAAGATACAAAAAAATGGGTTTTGATGATACTTAATCATCATATTTAGCTTAAAATACATGCTTAAAGGCATGTGTCTTCCATTTTTCTCCTTTACCTTTTAGCTGCTCTTTTCCTGCCTCTGATATGTTGTTGGCTGCTGAGAAACTGCTCTCTGGGCAGTGGTGGGGAAACAGAGTATTCAAGTTCACTAAAGGCTCAATTTTCCATTGATGGAATACCAGTTTCCACAGGATTAAGGCTGTAAGCACAGCAAAAACACCCATATTGAATGTTCCTTCTAAGTAATCCAGGGGTCAAAGAAGGTAGTCTGAAGGGAAATGAAAAAGTTAGAAAATGCTTTAAACTGAAGAAAAAAAATAAATGTGTAGATGCAGCTAAAGAAGAGCTTAGATGGAAATGTATAGCATTTGATGCTTATTTTAGAAAAGAAGGAAGTCTTCAATCAACAATCTAAACCTCAGCTTTAATCAACTAAAGAAAAGGCAAACCTAAAACAAGCAGAAGGAGGGAAATTTTGGTAAGTTCAAGAAGCCACCTTCAAAAGGTTACTACGTATTGTATGATTCCATTTACATGACATTATGGAAAAGGCAAAGTACAGGGACAAAAAGCAATTCATTTGGTGACCAGGGATTGGGATGGAGCAAGGAAGCCACAACAGGGAAGTGTGATGGAGTTTTCCGGGAATGATGGAAATGTTTGGAATCCTGATTGGGGTGGGGTAACAAAACTCATAGGACAGTACACTCCAAACAGTCTTTTCATTAAAATAATTTCTCTCTCTCTCTCTCTCTCTCTCTCTCTCTCCCCCCCTCTCTCCCCCCCCCTCCTCTGTGTCTCTCTCCTTGCTCTTCTCACCCGGTACTATGTCTGTTCACCATTGCCAGCAGTATGCCAGGCATAATAAGACTAAATATTTTTTAATTGAATTAAAACCAGTCATTAGAAATGAACCACTGTACCCAAAAAATGGGGTTTAACTAATGTATAATGGGAATAAGTATTTACTGACTGCTTTTTAATTGCAAGTACCGCAAAAGATTCAGATGCATTATTTGAATGCATTTATGACTCTTAGATCATTCTGCTCTTTATAGTGATATATTTTGTAGCTATTTTTATTTCTTGAAATTTCAAATCTTTTTGATTCTTTTGGCAAACTAAAACATCCCAAGTTGTACAGGTAAATAATAGCAATGTAGCGGAGTAACCACCAGATGGAGACAGAGAACACAAAGTTATTCAGACACAAGGTTTTGCAGGCGTTGTTTCCCAGGCTCAGGGGGCACACCTGGATCTGCAGCTGCTTCCATTTGGACACTGGTTTTCAAAGCTGGCTGCTCATTAAAATCACCTGGGACATTTAAACTACTGATGAACAGCCCCCTTCTCCCCAGCCCTGAGTTTTGTGGTCTGGAGTATGGTCTTGCCACTAAGACTTTTAAAAGCTGCACAGGTGATTCCAGTTGCAGCCAAGTGTGAGAACCACTACTTTCCAACATGCACCAGTGGACAGCCTCAGGCTGGCATGTTTCAGAATCATCTGGGGAACTTGTGAAAAACAGACTCAGGCTGTTGCAGTCTCCATTCTTTCGAGAACCAGAGTATTACGAAATGACATACTAAACTTAACAATAATTCAAAATATAATCAGTACTAACTCTGATACAAGACCAGGTGTGGTGACTCACCCTTGTAATCCCAGCACTTTGGGAGGCCAAGGTGGGAGGATCACTTGAAGCCAGGAGTTTGTTCAATACCAGCCTGGTCAACACAGCAAAACTCCATCTCTACAAGAAAAATTTAAAAATTAGCTGGGCATGGTGGCACACACCTGTAGTCCCAGCTACTCGGGAGGCTGAGATGGGAGGATCACTTGAGTCCAAGAGGTCAAGGCTGCAGTGAGCTGAGATTGTGCCACTGCACGCCAGCCTGGGTGACAGAGTGAGACCCTGTCTCAATAAACAAATCAGAAACGGTCTCATATGGGATTCTTTTCCAAACTGGGCCAGAGGGTTTCCTCTCCACATTTGCTGGCAGGTGCCCGAAGTGTTTCTAAAGCTGTGTTTGGCTGTTCCATTTTGGGACGTTAGGATAAAAGTCGGCCACTCTGCGCAGTGGATTCCCAGCCTTCATGGAGTCTACTCCCCAAAGGTGTTTTCACTCTATTTTACCAAAGCGTTAAATTATCTTCTTTTTTAATCTGATTTTTTTTTTTTTTTTTTTTGGAGAGATGGGGGTCTTACTATGTTGCCCAGGCTTGTCTCAAACTCCTGGTCTCAAGCCAGCCTCCTGCTTCAGCCTCCCAAATTGCTGGGATTGTAGGTGTGAGGCACTGTGCCCCGACCAAATTATTTTAGTATTACATCCATTAGAGATTAGGTTTCTAAATCACATTTGTTGTTTTTCCATATCATAATAGTAATGAATCTTCACTGTGGAACTTTTGGAAGAAACAAAACAAGACACATATGTAAGAAAAAATTACCTATTCTCTAACCACCTGGAGATAATCACTGTTATCATTTTGATATGTTTCATTACAGATTTTTTCACATGTGTACATGTGTGTAAGGGTATAAGTGTGCACTTACACATGCTCCAAATGTGTATGTGTGCACGTGTAAACAATCCAGTGTACATCGTGAGGCATCTACAAAGTTGTGGTCATAGTGTGGAGCCAGCCCCACAGGCCTCCCCAGAGATGAGGCCCTGCACTGTGCCTGAGTCCTCCCGAAAAGGATATCTTCGGTGGTGGTCGGGCCAAGATGCCATGAGCAAGCACCTGGAGGCCCCGAGTACTCAGCGTGAACCAGGAAGTGGAAGGGAAGCGCAAGGCCAGAGTGAGAACCAGGAGGAATGCTTGCTTTTTTTCCCAAGCACAAGGGACTCATTCCTCCATTGCAGCTGACCTGATGCTTACGCCAGGAAGGAGGAGGGGCAGACTCCGTCCTCAAGGTCCTTCAAGAGGAGAAAGAGATCAAAGTGGAAGACTTGGGTCTGAGGTCTGAACTTGACCCTGCACCAGCATCAGTTTCTCTGGGTAGGGATTGGGGAGGGAGCAGGCAGCCCAGGGCCCTCACTCACTGCAGGGTCTTGCGTGAATGGTCTTCATCTGTGACCCCATAGGAAGTGAGGGTCTCGTTCCACATGGGTTCAGAGTGTTACAGAGAGCTTTTGTTCTGAGCTTATTTGCCTAAAGAAAGGGAAAAAAATGATCTTATTAGCATCAAAGGATGTGGTAGACAGAGCAATGGCCCCCAGAGGTGGCCGAATCCTAATCTTGGAGGCTGTGAATATGTTATTGGCATGGCCAAAGGGAACTGAGGCTGCAGATGGAGTAGGGCTGTTAATTAGCTGACTTTAAAAATAGGGAGATCATCCTCGATTGTCTGGGTGGCCCAATGTGGTCATAGGGTCCTTAAAAGCAGAAGAAGGGACAGAGAAGAGAGTCGGAGCGAGATGTCACCAAGGAAGAAGGCCAGAGAGATGCAACAGGGCCTGCTGTGAAGGTGGAGGAAGGGGCCACCAGCCCAGGAGGGCTGGAAGCCTCTGGAAGCTGGAAAGAGCCAGGAAATGGACAGAATCCCCGGGCTGCAGAAGGAACGCAGCCCTGCCTTGACTTTAGCCCAGGAGACCACAGTTGGACTTCTAACCTGCAGAGCAGTCAGGTGGAAAGTGCCTTGCTCTTCGCCTCTCAGTGTGTGGTCATTTGTTGCAGCGGCCATAGGAGGCTCATCCTAGGAGGACCCACCTCCAGTCCCTGATGCCTCGGGGCGGTGGCGGGGGTTCTGCAGGGGGCCTGGTGTGGAACTGGAGTCTCCTTCCCAGGTCATGCCCCGTCTTTGCGGTCTGCTCTGCCTGGAACCCATCCTTTCCTCGGGCATGCCGCGTGTGGTGACCCCTCCGAGCTAGAATGTGGCTGCCACTCCTTCCTCCTGTGCCAGTGACTCAGTTCTGTGTCTGACTCAGTCTAATGCCCACCACACCCGGCCCAGGCTTGGCGGTCAGATAGCTCGGGGTTCCAATTCCAGCTCTGTAGCAGCGTCAGGTTCCCCACTGTGGAGAGGACACGGGAATCCCTCTCCCGCTGCTTTCAGAAGCTTGTCTATAAGGAGCCTGCTCTTTATAAAACACTGGGGAGAGTCTTGGGGACTTCCTACAACTTGGCAGCCAGGCCCTGCCAGCTCCCATCCCACGAGTTAGGGGTCACTGTGCTCCTGCGTCAGGCACACTTCCCTGGTCACACTCAACCTCAGCCCTCACATCCCTGAGCCCCACTTGCAGCATAAGGACATCGAGGCCTGGCATGGGAGCCATTTCTTCCCCAGGAGTCGGTGGTGGGGCGCTGCCGTGTCCCTACAGCCCTGCCTTCCCCAGAGAAGGCACCATGTTCCTTTGGGGTGGTCCCCCTGGACTGCGGGGGGCCCCAGGCCTACACATTTAGGT